ATATATATATATATCTTTTAATAGCTAATGCAATAATTAATGTTGCTTCACTTCCTTCCGTTGAGTTTCCCCCTGAGGCTGTTTGAAGCCCCCCAGGGGAAGCCCACCCCCTGCTTTGAAAAGCTCTGCTGAAGCCTGGCGTTGACCTGGAAACACCAGCAACTCCTCAACAGAGTAAAGAAAAAAAAAAGGGAGTAAATAAACCCGGAAGCGTGCGCACGAGCACGTACGCGCAGGTGGAGATGGAAATGCGGAACCGGCAGGGGGCGCACGCGACAGAATGGAGAGGCAAGGCTATCAGCTCATAGAAACTAAACAATAATGTGTCGAACTTTGAAACAATAACCTGTAAATTTTAATTTATCCGTTTGTTTTACAAGAACAGCTCACATAAATAATATATTGTAAACGTGCTACTGTTAGCTAAAATGCTCAATTTTTATACGTAGCTCAGCTTAGCGCCGCGGGCAAAAGCTACATAAAAAACGTAAACTAAAAAGTTACATTTTATTCTAAATCAACGACGAAACCGTAAACATGTTAACCTTTATTTTTTTAAAAAGGTACACGTATTTAAAGATATAGAAAAACACCAGAGCCTACACAGACGTGGGGGAAAACGCACCACCACAGGAAACAGCGACTCGTGCTGCGTTCAGGTTGCACTCAAAAGTCGGATTTACGAGTTCTTATTCGGAAAACTCGAACTAGTAAAAAAATWAAATAAATAAAATATTGCTGAAGCGTCTGAATGCATTGACAGCCAGACAGTAGTAATTAGCCTGGTCACAGAGCACAACGATTAGCAACTATGTAGTAGCTGTAACAATAAACTTATAACTACAGCACGATGAAGTCGAGTTTGGCCCACAAGTATTTCCGAGGTGAATGGAAGGCAGCAGTCTGTCTGTCTGTCMGGGAATCTTGACATATTTTTACACACAAATGCCTTTATGTGAAATAAGTAAATAAGCGAGTAAGTAAATAAATAAATAAATGAATGTGACTGATTTCATAGGAGAACCTATAGATGGCGCTGTTTACATTCTCCTCTGATCTGATCGACCTGATCACTGGTCTGAAACCAGCCGACCTGTACTTCTCCTTCAGAATAAGAGACAACATCAGACTTCAGATCAGTGGGAAAAGTTTGTGGTTAATGAATAAACTTCTATACTTTCACATGCAGGTAAAGCTTTGATTGCATCATCAGTTATTGGAGCAAAAAAATAACCGATGAAGCGTTGGAATAATAAAAAAAAACTGCTTTATTTTCATCTGAGCTGCTTGGTGCAGCAGAGTGGGGGGATGTGAGGTATGGATCTTTATCGACAAGGGAAGAAAGAAAGAGGGGTGGGTACGAGTGGGAGCATTGTGGGGGGAGGCCACATGCTTTAAACTCCACAAGGTTTTTTATTTTTTTTTTTTCTTGAAGGAAAACTTGATTTGGCTCCGTTTCACCTTTAGGAATGCTTTTTTTTTTCTCTCCTTCACTGAACATGTCTGCTTTCTTTCTGACACGTGAACTGAGAGGAAAGACATAGAGAGGGGGGGGAAATGCAGCTTTTGGAGATGATTGTCGCAGATCTGGTTCTGTCGTCCCTCTGCAGCGCGTTTTACGCAAATCTGCTGTTTGGCGCGCGCCGCCGCCGCTCCAGCTTGTGTTACAGCGTCACTATGAAATATTCATCCGTGGAAAACCGCTTTGATTTCAGTTGGCTGCAACGCGTCCAACATGTGAGTCCATAAAGTCTGCTCGGACCTCACGACTTCAGGGGACACGTTACGCGCCGGACTGTGCCATTCCATCCATCCATCCATCCATCCATCCATCCATCCATCCATCCATCCATCCATAGAGGAGCAAAAAAAGAGAAGGATGTCTACTTCCTCTCCGACAGGTGAGTCCAGAAATTTTTTCTCCTGTTTTCTATTTTTGAAAGAAAAAACACTAACCTGACCCCTCCTCTGATGACCTGAAATGACCCCCCTGTCCATTATTACAATAAAGTTGTTGATTTAAAAACAAATCAGGGAGGTTAAAAACGCGCACAATCAATCTGAACGGTTTTAGGAATAAAAAGACAATAAAACTAAAAGTGGATGGATTTGTAGAGAGCATAGCTGTTGAGATGAAACATGATAAATGATGTATTTTAGGAGTTGTAAATRTAAAAAAAGGGAAGCTTTATTGATTTTTTTTCTGCATAAAGCTGCGTTGAATAAATAAAAACATAAGAGAAGAAACAAACACGGATGCTGAGTCAAAACTGCAGGAAAATGCAATGAAATAATTAAAGAAGGAAAAAGAGAAGTAGATATTCTTTTTTTTTCTCCTCACCGGCTGAAGGGGCGCTTCACCGCCCCTCCGTGACGTCACTCATGTTTTATTCAGCTCTCTGCAGGCGCGCGTGAACCACCCGCACTTTACAGCTGCAAACCTTTTATTTAAGGAGCTTTAAAA